TATATATATGAAAAACTATTTATCCTTTTATTTTTGATCCGTACTTCATCAAGTTGTGTTTTCTACTTTATTGAGCTTGGTGTCTGTCTTTGTTTGCCTGGGCCATCTGACTTTGCTGTTCTGTGTATCTTAGAAAACACGGTACAGCTTTCAGGAAAAAATCCTGCCTTTCTCAATAGAACAAAGAGGGGCCTCTCTATACAAAGTGAGTGAGATTAGAAGAAACAGTTGCCTTTGCTGCTGTTAATTTGCATACCCTGCTTGGCTATACACAAGTGCTGTCTGAAGCATTTTGCAAGCCCTGATGTGTCAGGTGGACAGTGTGCTGTGAAGTGGACTCTAGCGTTCTCTGAACTAATGTGTAGCCTGCGGTGGTTTGGTTTTACACGCTACCCTTCCCTGAGTGTAAATGCAACCTATTGCTCTACACAAGAGACGTGTTCATGCCTTTTTTTCCTTGACCTTTCGGTGGCTGCAGAGGATATGCCGCGTCCCTGCTTGTGAAGATGCTGAGCATGTTTCTCTGTTGCCCAATCCAGCGCCACCGCCCTTGGCTGACGGCAAGTACCCCGTTCATCACTTTGCATTAGCATCAGTATGTCTATTGTCCCCTCTCTTGGCTCCTTCAGAGACCTCCTTGTCACGACTTCTGAACAAAACTTTTGGCAGTGTGGTTGCTCTGCTACTGCTGCTTGAGATTGCAAGAAGGTTACTGTTCTGCTTTACCGTTGGTGCACTAGCTCTGTAGCAGAGCTCTTCCATTGCCTTGTCTTACAGATAGGTACCGGTGCAAGTAGTGCCACGGGAGTCTTATAGCTGAGGTAATGCTGGTTGGCATGCAATCCCTGTACAAGCTGAGAGAGCTTATTTCCTTGTTTAAAGGAATTCATGGGAGCTTTATCATCTTTGAAGCTAGAATGTGAAAGAGGCCAGATTTGAAAGAATCGTGGGAATAATGTGGTTGATCCCTTCAATGAGGATAATGTAATGGAGCTTGTGATATGGCAGAGATGGGTAAGAGTTGTTTTCCCAGTAAAACACTGGGGTGGGAGCAAATTCTTATAGTACAAAGAAGTGTGTGCTTACGAGGCTTAAAGTCATTTCCCTCATCAATGCCTCTTGTTTTCCTGTGCTTGTTATCTCCCTTTCCTCTTAGGGCAGCCACCTCTATAGCAGACGGAATTAGCTGTATGTCATCTTTGATTTTTGATCTTCAGTAGCCAATCAGAATAACATGGTGGTATGCTTTGCCTCCTTGCTCCTAAAACATGTATTTTACCTCTCTTATGTTTATGGAGTTCATTGAAAAAAAAGTCAATGCCTCAGAGTAAAGGCATTCTTGTTCATAACAGGTTTCAGATGACCTCATCTAGTCCTCCCACATCAAATGGTTGCATGAAGTTCTGTGATGCTCCGTGACCAGTTACAGCTTTGAGGTCTACAGGCAGAGCCTCAGGCAATATATTCTTAATGCAGATGCTTTCTCAACCTCCAGAGACAATTTCTTTATCTGTTAAATAGCTGCTGTTATGGTGTCATGATGTGTTCTATGTCAGGGTTTTGTTGTGGTTTTTTCTCCCAAGCCATTAATCTATCTAATTGCTTAAAAACATCTCCTTTGGCTAAGTTTAGGGACTCTGTCCTTCCTTTTGGAGTTGCTACTGCACTTTATCTCACAGTGTGGATGTTGGATGCCTCCCAACACTGAATTGCAGCTCTTCCAATCCAGTGGGGGTGGAGTAGTAAAGAAGAGGCTTTTTAAGATGCACTTACTAGCAAAATAAAACAGATACTGATTTTGCTAATATACCTGTGTGTGCTTGTGTTCATAGATCTGACTCTCTAGTCGCACAGCTGAAGAAGTCTGGTTCCTCCTTCAATTCTGTCATAGTCCTTTTCATAAGTAGCTTTTCCCTGTCGTCCTCTGATGGAAGGAACTTTCTTGTTCTTTTGCCTAATGGCATCCCAAAGTCCATCAAGGCAACGGATAAAGTGTCCTTATCCATAGCAGGTCCAGTTCTTTGATGTAAGTCTAAACCTAATACATGGGGTTTTCATCACAGTTGTTCTATGTGTGTTATCTGTGTGGGCTTATGAAACTGTGATTAATCCATGGGAACTGTGGAGTTATGGACTGTCATGACAGATAGCATGGGTATGTTTGTCAGGGGATTGTATTTTATATGGATCCTGCCCAAATTCCTTCATCACATGAGATCTGTACTTTAGCCAGGTGATTAAGTTATGACACATCTGTCTTGGGCTGAGGATAATTTTTATGTTTTGACGGCTCTTTTATTACCCTTGAAGCAATACCCAAAGCTGTTCATGTAGTACCTGATCAGCTGAAAGGAACTTCTGTTTCCTTGTCAAAACTCTGAAAGTGAGTAGTGAGATGCACTGAAAAATCTGTTGTGAGACTTCTGAAATGGATCCCCCACACTGACCACACTCCTGCACCAGCGAGGAATCAAGCTCTTTTACTGGTCTGTATGAGAAATATTTCATTCCCTGACATCTGCAAAATGGCTACCTGGAGTTCTGTTGTAGTTTCACCAAGCACTGTATCACAGTAGAAATGCCATTTTCATCCAGAGTTAATTGGGCACTTGCCTGTGTTGGGATTATGTGGCTGAGAAGGCATGAGGATGGCATCGAATATATGTCTGGGCTGAGCAGGAGGAATGGCAGAAGTGAGGGTACCATGTACAAATCAATAATGAAAAGGAAAAAAAGTCTCTCCTCTTAAGCAGGAGGGCTCCTGTATGCCCACAGTACGAAGGTACATGACTGTCACATCTCAGAGGGCTCTTTTTACCATGTTAGTATAAGTTTTATCTCTGCATTTGTTTCTACCTTGTAGAAAGGAGATCACCATTAAGTTGCATAGGGTTGAGTGGGTCCTTGCACAGCACAGTTCTATGTGTCTGTCATTTTAAGCAAGAAAACTCCTCCACGGAGCTTTAATCCCCACCCCACTACTGTTTTGCAGGCAGTTATTTTCTCTGTATTTTAATTTTTCCCTTGTGCTGAATGTTGCTTTGTTTCTTATTTCACTCATTCTTTACATCCACTGTCTGCTCAGCACTTTATCCTTCCATTTTCCTATATCAGCTTCTTGAAGCCATGTTTCAATCTAGCTGATTCATTGTGAGAAGCACAAACTTTTATACGGTGCATTTAGTTGGCAAGTGTTAAGTGGACAAATAGGAGAAACAGTGTGGACCAAATCATTCTGTAGTGCAACTCGGATTTGCTGAAATTCTCAGGTGTGAGGCATTGCTGCTCTCTGCCAGGGTAACTGCTATTAAATGGAATTAACCCTAATTACCACCAGCATAAATGAACTAAGGATCAGGTTGGCATCCTTCTAGTTAATGTAAAGTTTCATGTTAAGCTGTTAATCAGGAAAATATAGGTAATATTTTAGTAGCTCTGGAAGGCATAATTTTCTAATGTATTTTTTTCTTGTTTGCAAGTTTCTGGCAGCTAATATAAGTGTGTACTGACAGAAATTCATCAGCTTCCCCCGCCCCCAGGAGACTACTTATTAAACTTATGCAATGCAAGATATTAAAAACACTTTTGTCTGTCACACAGCCACGGGCAGGGGAGGGGGAATTTGCTAGTTGCTAATGGATACCTGGAGTTTTTGTGTATGACCATGAAGAACAGCTTGTGCACTTTCACCCCTGATGTTCCCTGAATAACTTGGGTCTCGTTTAGGTCAATAAGCCTTTATCAAAACGTCAGGAGTGAAAAATGTGTCTTGGTGTAAGCCGACTGGTCGTTCCCTCCAGTCACTGGAGTCTATAGGACAATCAATGTTCTCTAAGCTTGTCTGCATGTCACGCAAAGAGCTGGATGACAGTAACCATTGACTGCGTGTCTGTCGCATTGTCTTTGGGACAGCCTCCATTTGCATACTTGCCGGTGTGCCTGTTATCCAATGAACCATGGAGGGCCTTTAAAAAAACATACGCGCACAACTCCGATGCAAATTTCCTACGCAGAGAATACACGCTTCTTTAAAGCACAATCCAGGCTTTCATTTTCTACCTTCTTGTTACAAAACTGAAACTGATCCTGACAAGGCCATGGTTCCTGGTCAGGGTGCTGTTTGTGGCTTCATTGTGCTAAAACATTAACTTTTCTCTGGGTTTTTCTTTGCCTATCAGGATAATTTTTTTGTTGTTCTTTTGCTTTTGGTAATTGCTTTTGGGGATATCTGAACGATGTTATCTGTGCTATCACATAAAATGTGAGGCTGTGCATCCCGTCCTCAAATTGGTTATTTTGAGTGAAGGACAGTTTTTGCTCCCTGTATGATTGTTACTGTCTTTTGTTAAGGGAGTTGCTTTCATGGTAGTGATGAAAAAAGATGCACTAGCCTTCTGCATACAGAAGCGTACTTGGATTTTAGAATTTATTGACTGTGTCTGTGAAACAAATACAATCACGTGATGAGAAAAGACTGCCTCTGTGCTGTGACAGTTCAATGGCACCTCAGGTAAAGCAGGGCTCATAATTTTGTCACTCACTGCAGGTTCACAAATGATGTTAGGTGAAACTGGACAAAGGGAGAGTTTCATTGCATTTGAAGCTTCTGTCACATAAGACACAGGCTTTCCTTAAAGCATCTGCTGCAGGTGCTGTTTCTTTAGATTTATGACGTTCATTATGACTTAATTTTATTGAAAAAAATATTTAATAATAGTCCAGTTTAAAAAAAGGGGGGTTCTAGTGGATCCTTTCAGAATGAAGCTGTAGAAGACATTCTTGGTTGGGTCGAAGGGTCTGAGGTTCATGTTTATTACAACCAATGATCTGGGCAGTTTCATTATACCTTGAAAATCTAACTGGAATACAAGTGACCACAAATGATTGTGATAGCTGTTCTGCTGCATCTGACATCTTGCACGGGTTATGAGATTGTCAAAACTAAGGGAAGGAGTCCTGGATAATGTTCTCCTAGAAGTGTCATGGAGTTGAACTTCAACACTGTAGTGCCCTGAGGTCAACAGTGTTATGCCATCAGGAGACTGGCATTTTAGAGCCACAAAAAGATTATAGTGAAAACAACTGATGCACAACATTTTCCCCCTTTTTGCTGTATTTTTGCTGTATTTTTTGCTGGACCTATTATTTTACTCAGTATTCAGGGCAATGTCCCGTGCATTTTTGAAGCTCATAATGACTGCCATTCATCTTGACTGGACTAGGGTTGTATCCTTGTTATTTCAATTAATTTAGAAAATAATCATAGGTATCATCTTGAATCCCATATGCCAATCTGTTATGAAAAACAGTAGTGAGCCCCTGCAGAAATGTGAGGAGGCTGGATAAAATGTTCAGCAGCATGTCATCCTCCCTGCAGTTGCTCTGTATATTAAATCACTCTATGAAATATGCAGCTCATTCTCTTAATCTACATTATCCTGTGTAACTGTGATACCTTACGATTGGTTTCTCTGCCTTACTCTATATGCCATGTGCTGTGCGTTTTCAATTACAAGCCACTGTTACTATTTCAATTAGTAGATTTTGCTGTTGGCTGTGATACAGAATGTGACCAGTTACTAACTGACTTGGCTAATAAAAAAGTATTGCAGGTCCCTGATACTTGAGGAAACTATGCTGAATATGCTGGACTCAACCAGTCTGTAGAAAAGCAAGGTTTATCTGCACATTAAGTTCCAAATATGACATAACTGTACCTCTGTCTAATCAACAAGAATGTCAGGTGTCTTTGGCATTTACCACCTTGTAGGCATTTCCAAAGTCATACCTTAGCACAGGTCTGCGGTTAACACGTAGCTTGATACCAGCAGAGCTTCAGAACTAGACCTCTGTTTCTGCTGAAGTCTCTAACTGTTCACAAGAGGATGGGAAAGGCATGCTTGAGGTCTCGCTAGATGTTCAGTGTACCTGGACAATATTGGTAATGGGTACTAGAAATCTTTCTTCACTCTGCGTGAGATTAAATGAAGACTAAAAAAGTAAAAAGTAGGGGGAGGTAAATGGAATGTGAAGCACACCTCTTCCCAAAATGAAATACACTAGCAAAATGTTCATCTCCTCAATACAGACTGTGCTTGTTTTCTTTGGCTCAGTCAGGAAACTTTTTGTTTGGATTAGAGCAAGTGAATTGCACAGAATGGTTTTTAGTTTTAGTACGTGTAGACAAGCCAAACTGCATGCAATTAAAGTATTTAAGCTTGCTCTTAATCTTTTCTTTCTTTACTCCTACAGGTTTTTCTGTTACTTTAGATCATTTTGCTCTAGTTGACTCTTTTTTCACCTTCCGAATTTTACATTTTATCTTAGTGTTTCCTAATATATTATGAAAAAAGTTGAAAGACATACATTAGAGAATTAACCTAGTTCCCTGTCTGTTTCTTTTAGGAAATTGTATTAGTAGTATTCTTTGGAACGGAATATGTGGTTCGGTTGTGGTCAGCAGGATGCCGCAGTAAATATGTTGGAATATGGGGAAGGCTTCGTTTTGCAAGGAAGCCTATTTCAATCATTGGTGAGTATGTACAGCTTGCAAAGTTGATGTAAATGAGTAAAAGTTGTCCTTGAAAGTTTTGAGAAGTGGAATTACTGCAGTAGTTGAAGCCAAGTTAGAGCAAGAGCTCCTGTCATTAGCGTTAATGTAGATCTGAATTTCCTTTCAGGAATCCATGGCACCGTCATTTGAGAACAAATGTAGCTTGGTTTGTTTTTCCAGAAGAGCAGAGTGTTTTATTTTCACAAGTGATCTGAAGCTTTGCCAGAAATAAGTCTTGGCCATAGTCCTGTCTCCTGTGACCTCAGGCTCCCAGACACTGTACAATAGCTACAACTGTACTCTTTTTTTAAAGATACTGAATGGCCTTTCTTTTTTTCCCCTCAGCAGCCGTTTGAATAATTTATTATAAGCTTATTTTGCACTCTAATTGAACTACGTACTGCATGGTGGAGCATGATAGATGCGCTGTAGTTACTTTGTATATTTATTGCATTAAAACACAGGTTTCAGTGATGCATTTGGAACTGGGCACCTGACTTCCCTTGATATTCACTGCAGTTGGCTTCCTAACGTGACTTTGGTGTTCTTAGAAATTACATCCATATATTCAATATATGTCACACACCATTATTTTTTTAAGAATGCTTGTCAGACATTTAATGATTTCACTGAAAGAAACATAATAATCCAAAATTGGTCTGTATTTTGTTAGCCAATATTGAGAGAACTATGTAAAGACCCTTGCCCTGAAGCATTTAAAATATAAACGGATTAAACAAACCAGATTTTGGAAGAGGAGTATTGTTATAGAAGCATAATAGTTCTTGTTCTGTGACATAGTTTTTTCCACTACTCAGAAACATTATTTGTTGCTGAGTAGAGGATATAGTTTATGAAAAACTATCTACATTTTTGCTGAATATAAATTACAAAATTGTGTACCTGGCTATTTTTACAATCATAAAATAGTTTAGTTTATATTCTCTGTGCATATATATATCAATAACAACAGTATCTTAGGTGTGACTGCAACTATAAAATGGCTTTGACTGAATCTTTGCATTCTGTCCACAATCCATTTCTCTTGAGATTTAAAACACTAGGGGTTCTGAAACATCATCCAATTTATTTCAGCTTGAAAAGCAAAACAAAGTTCCACTTTCTCAGATGTGTATCAAGGACTATTTCATTCTCCAAAACACAGAGTTCCTTTCCAAAATTAACTAGGCCTGAGGCATAGAGATTTAGAATACAGTCCTAGGGTAATGACTGACTTAAACTAAATTACACTCACACACTAATTCCAATTTTTCTCTCCCTTTTAAACCTGGACAGATGAAATAATAAAGTCTTTTATGTGAAATAAACCCCAAAACCTCTGTCAATGAATGAAGTAGTGTCTAAAACAGCAGAGAAAACAAGATACGCAGAAGAGAATATGTAGAAACTGTTGAAATTCCTCATCAGTTATAGCTAATAAGGATTCCAGCCTGCTGAGACTGCTTTACAGTAACTCATCACTCTTGTCGTTCATCTAGAATGTGGCCATCTTGGACCCATCCCAGTAAAACCTTTCTATCACATCACACAATTATATTTTCTTTATATGTTACAATAGAGACCTCTTGATATATAAACAAAAATCTTCATTTGGGGTGACTGTTCAAATTGTTAAAGTAATATTAGCATTCGTTCTAGTAACAGTCTTGCAGAAGTATTGCAAGATGCTGCTAACTCATTTTTTCAATTGACTTTTATTTTCCAGATTTAATTGTAGTTGTTGCTTCCATGATAGTTCTTTGTGTGGGCTCTAAAGGTCAAGTCTTTGCAACCTCAGCTATCAGGTAATTATATGTAATGAAAGAAAATAGTGCTGAGTTAGGTAGGTTATTTTTTTCTTTTTTTAGCTCCTCTTTCAATTCTTGCAGTAGAAAATGAGTCACTGCTCAGAGTCATGTAGCAGAGCAAATCACCAATAATGTGTGGGCGTGAAACAATGATCCCATTAAGTGCAGGGGAAATAAAATTTTGCATGTGTTGTCTGGTTGTAATGCATTTATGTCTGGTGGGGATAGAGGTGCACATACCCCCACCCCCTTTCCCCATCTAGGTGGGTTGTACCCAAATCCTGTTTTAGTTTCTTGGCTTAGTTTTATAGCAAGTCTTTCATGCTTCATGTCTCTGATGTCTTCAGGCTGCTTCTTCGTAAAATGCCTGGGGTTAGTGGTTGTGAATTCCTGATGGACTGAGTCTACCTTGTGCTCAGGAAGGTCACACCACTTAATTTTCTTGAATGAGAGGGTCCAGGGCAGTGTACTCTGCTCTGTGCACTGGCTGCAGCAATGCTCTAGGATTGCAGTGACTCTCATAAAAAAAATATTTTAAAATATTATTGGACTGTCTAGTTCAAATTGCTCATAGGAGAAGAATTCAGATCTTGAACTGTTTCTGTATGTTGTTTCCCATGCTGGCGAGCAGGTCAAATATGAGTTGATGAATGATTTCTAGAGCATTTGCAGTTTGTGTCCAAAATTCCTGAATCCTTGAGTTATCCTTACTAGCCATGTGTACAAAGGTCTGTCCTTCTCTCGTGCAATCTCCCCATGCTGTCTTCATAACAAACAAGATGAAAGATGGGTGAATGGAGTAAAAAGAGACAGGCTGCTAAGTGTAACATAAAATACTATGTGTGTCTCTTAAATCAGTCCTTTGGAAGAGACAGACTTCCCCTCTCTGCCTCTATTTCTTCTCTTGTATCTTTAGTCTCCTCATTCATTTAAAAATTATGTTCCAGGGGCATCCGTTTTCTGCAGATTTTACGAATGCTGCATGTTGACCGTCAGGGTGGTACGTGGAGACTGCTGGGATCAGTAGTGTTCATACACAGACAAGTAAGTTTGAGTGCTCTGAGGAATGGCATAATAATTGATACAAAAGTTCCTTATACTCAGAACAGCATGTATGCAGGCATGTTGATGATGTAAAATACGCTTAGTGTGGAGGCAAGCAGTCATTTATTTTAACAAGCGTGGTGTTTTTGCCTTGTTCAAGGGACAGAAAGTTCCTAAAAGATTAAAAATATTCACCTGCACTTTGGCAGACTTTTGACTTGTAGTTGGACATAAACACAGAAAATGAGACTTCTGAAAAGTAGTCTGAATATTTCTAAAAATATGTATCTAAATTCCAAAGTTGTTTTGAATGTGGCGAATGTGGCACTGTTTGAAAAAGCTACCCAACTACTTTTTGGTGACAAAAAGTTTAATGAGTCACACTTGCAAGTGAGGAGATTGTTTTGACTCCTTGTTTGAAATGTGCATGCTAGACCAAGTAGTCATCTGTGGTTTAAATTCTTTTACCATTGAACTCAGTGGATTTTTGTTGATTTGCACAACCAACAGTCAATGTCAGTGTTTATTATTTGCTGAAATTACATTCTTCTGTTCCAGTTATCTTTTAAAAACCATCAGTGATAGGTAATTTAAGTGTCTCAACAATATCATAATGCTGTTACTTTGATTCTCTTTGCAGGAACTGATAACTACACTCTACATTGGATTTCTGGGCCTGATTTTTTCCTCTTATTTTGTGTACCTGGCTGAAAAAGATGCTGTAAATGATTCTGGAGAAACAGAGTTTGGCAGCTATGCAGATGCCCTGTGGTGGGGAGTAGTAAGTATAGCAATTTCACATGTACTAAAAGTAGTTAACACCTTCAAATGTGGAATAAAGTTCAAGCAAGCGTGGACTAAGAACAGCACTTTGAAATGGCCTTCTTACTGCTTCAATACACTTTCTGTTTTTGTAATTCTATGAAACTAAGAAAATAGTATAGATTATCGGCAGTTTTATTTGGTGTTTGTAGTCTCATGTGATCCAAAGTGAACAAATTATGTATACAAGATGTAGAAACATCTATTCTTATTTCTTTATCTTGTCTTCCCTTCTATTATAGAGATTACTTCTTGCTGCCTTCCTCATGGTAGGGTTCAACCTTCTAAGGCGGTAACAGTCTTGCTAAATCAGGGCTAGTGTTTTTGGGGTTTTTTGTGTGTGTGTTTTTGGTTGGAGGGTTTTCTTTTGTTTAAACAGATATCTATGGTTTGCAGTTCTGCTTGGGACAGTAATTCCCTGTTTATTCAGAATGGACTAATTCCAGAACAAAGAGCATCTGAGAGATTTAAATCCAGGCACAGGGCTGTTTTAAAGTGGTTATACTGCTTTGGAACCTGCTTAGAATCATAGTATCATAGAATGGTTTGGGTTGGAAGGGACCTTAAAGATCATCTAGTTCCAACCCCGCTGCCGTGGGCTGGGGCACCTTCCACTAGACCAGCTTGCTCAAAGCCCCATCCAGCCTGGCGTTGTCAAACACTTCCAGGAATGGGGCATCCACAACTTCTTTGGGCAACCTGCTCCAGTATTTTACCACCCTCATAATGAAGAATTTCTTCCTTGTATCTAATCTAAATCTACCCTCTTCCAGTTTAAAGCCATTATTCCTTGTCCTATCACTACATGCCCTTGTTAAAAGTCCCTCTTCAGGTTTCTTCAGGTACTGGAAGACTGCTATAAGGTCTCCCTGGAGCCTTCTCTTCTCCAGGCTGAACATCACCAACTCTCTCAGCTTGTCCTCACAGGAGAGGTGCTCTAGCCCTTTGATCATCTTTGTGGCCATCCTGGACTTGCTCCAACAGGTCCACGTCCTTCTTATGTTAGGGGCCCCAGAGGTGGACACAGTACTCCATGTGGGGTCTCACCAGAGCAGAGTAGAGGGGAAGAATCACCTCCCTGACCACGCTTCTTTTGATGCAGCCCAGGATACTGTTGGCATTCTGGGCTGCGAGCTTGTCTTGCTAGCTCATGTTGAGCTTTTCATCAACCAACACTCTCAAGTCCTTCTTCTCGGGTTTGCTCTCAATCCACTCATTACCAGCCTGCATTTGTCCTTGGGATTGCCCCAACTCAGGTGCAGGACCTTGCACTTGTCCTTGTTGAACCTAATGACGTTTGCATAGGCCCATTTCTCAAGCTTGTTCAGGTCCCTCTGGATGGCATCCCTTCCCTCCAGCATGCCAACTGCACCGCTCAGCTTGGTGTTGTCAGCAAACTTGCTGAGGGTGCGCTCGATCACACTGTCTATGGCACTGACACAGGTGCTCAACAGTGCTGGTCCCAAATATCGACCCCTAAGGAACGCCACTCGTCACTGGTCTCCACTTGGACATTGAGCCATTGACTTAGTATCCTTGTGTGGCACTCGTCTGTGCAATGTCGACATACCATCTTGCTCAGAGTTTTTTGGGTTTCTCTAAGGTGCTGCCACACCATGTGGCCATGCCATGTGCCGTGCTGCCATGCCATGTGGCACGTATCTTTAGTTCTGCTAATAAAGTTGTGCTTTCTTGCTGTTGCTAGTGACGGTTGTCTCTCTATTTTCAATTGTTATATGTACTTACTAGTTTGACAGCTCTATTCTGGGATTATGTTTTAGTAAACGTTTAAATTCTGTGCTTCTGCCATTACCTCTCTCTTCTAAAGAAAGATAAATTACCTCTTTCTTTTCTCGCATGATATGCAAACATTAGGTTGGCTGCTCTGTTTTGGGATTTCCCATCTGTAATTGTTTCCCTTTCCTTTTCCTATTGCAGTTCAAAGAAAGGTACTTTTTGGAAGCTGTTTTTCCTTATCATTAGCATTCAAGCAATGACTTGTTTTTTTCTGCTTTAATTGTATGTAGCTTAATAAAACAAACTGTCATCATTAAGTGCTACAGACCTTTAAAATGCATAGGCATCAATAATGATTCTATGCTTGCATTTTCAAAATGTGCTGATCTTCTAGAGTCTTTTCTTTGCTGTTTTAAATCAAAAGGTATTGTTTCTTTTTTCATTAAAAATGAGACTACATAAGTAAGTCTTATGTACAAGAACGATAGGACTAACACCTCTTTCACTAATGAACATACATTTTTTTTTTTAAGAAAAATTTTTAATAAATCTCTGTGTGTGTGTACGTACGCAGTCTTCTCTACAAACAATACCACTTGCTATTTCAGGAAGGAAAGATCTATTGATGAGCAAGTCTGTTGCAGGTCTTCTGGTGCTGAAATGCATATGTAGCCTTTTTTGAATCCAACGGGTTTTGCTTATGTTGCTACTAAGATTTGCTGCAGAATTCTTTCCTCTTGCTGTTTGCCACGGTTAAATACAGCCTCTCTTAGGATCAGAAAACTTGCTGTGTAGCACAAGGAAGTGGCTTTCTGGCAAGTAGCTTTTTCAATGCATTCATGTCATCACGGCGTTTTTATTTTCCAGTCCAGTGGTAAGATGACTTGCTAATTAACAGTGGGAGATATACCTGCATTTAAAAAGGCACACTGTCATTGGTGTTGGCATTAAAAATTGAGTATGTGAGAGACTGGATTGGCTTACTGAAAATACAGTAATCTTCCATAGAAGCAATACAATCTGTCAGGTTATTGAAGTATTCTCCTTTCAGGGAATTATTGCTTAGTTAATAGGCATGCCAGTTATTTTGTCTTTCTAACTACAGTAAACTCATTTATTCAATAAGTTTAATTATGATACTATTCTTTTTCTGTTATAACCTCTATTATGTTGTAGCATGTCACTTGAAGTGTGAGACTGCATTCAATGAATGCATAATGTAATTTCCTTAATATTAAATAATAGAATTTAGTGTCCTTGTTCTGCTTCGAACACAGATGCTATATGTCTGCTAACTGCTAAAAGGATTTAGCAAAACAAAACTGAAATGGATTCAGGTCCATCCATTTTTGGTGTTTTGATACTGTAATATTCTTCATGCCTTCTGCTAGGAAAAAGTCCTGTGAAGGTCATTAAGTATCAGGATGCTTCCTAATGAAGGTCTCAAACTCATACAAAAACCTTCTTAAAGTGTTAGGTCTCAAAAGTTTTGGTTATGTTTCAGCTAGAATCTTCAGAATCGCTTAAACATCACAAATTCTGGCCACTGAAAAGCTGTCTCTGTCTGTTTTGAACTGGACATGCAGAAGAGGATAATTCACAGCTCCTGTCTCAAACACCACCACAGATACTTGATCTGTCTGGCATCATAGCTGATCTCACTTCTCTGAATGCACTTGCCTTATGTAGTAGAGAATAATTCTAAAAGAAAAATACTTGATAATGTTTCCGCACCCCCTTTCTTACTCTACAACATCTTTTTGTTATCTCAGCATATGTCTACACTGCTAAACAAGTTCTTTGGGTAGTGGCTATAGAATATGTAGCATAACATAAAGTAAACCATACAGAAGGTCTGTGTTAACACAACTAAACTGCATCTGGAACTGGGTACTTTTATATTACTGTGCTTTGACTATAGGCATACCCATAGGGTGCATAACTTTTAATTAAATGTTCTTCATTGTCATTGTTGTTATTTTTAAATCTGTATTACTGTTCCATTTCCATGTGTAAATTGGCTTCCTGGGCTTTGTTTGAATTTCCTTGAGAACCCTGGCTGTAGCTATTTGCCATTCCAGTTTATGGCCTTCTTGAAGAAACCTAAGGCTACCTTGTGGCATAGAGTAAAGCTTTGTCTGTGTTATTGCTGGTTTTGAATGCAGTGCATGTTGTATAAATAATTCTGCAAATGGCTGCATATTTGTATGTCTTTCAAAAGACAAGTTTAGTATTTGCAAGTAAAATAACAGTAATATGATGCATCTTTCAGCTCCCCAGTGCAACTATTCAAAATTAGTCTGCTTATGTTGTCCTTCATGTCCAGACTAAGAGTTTTAAAGACCTAGTATAGATTCTGGACAATAAAAACAAGAATTAAAAAAAAATTCTCACCAAATCTGTAAAAGATGACCACCTTCAGGGAATGTTATTGTCTCACTCTCTCTGTTTTTTTGTGGGTGTTTTTTTGGGGGGGGGGGGTGGTGTTTTTTTGTCTGCTTGTGTGGTTTTGTTTGTTTTGTTTTTTTCCTCTCTATCCTTAAGCATTAAATTCAGTCATGCCTCGGGCATAGTGAGGGGAGCTACTCTTTTGATATCCACTGGGTGATACACAATTTCCAGCCTTCACATCTGAACAAACATCCTTCAGGAAAACCATTATTGTGGATCGTGCTAATAGTCTCTTTGATCATGAGCACTATTTGCCACAAGAAATTATTTAATATAGACATGCATGGATATTACACTGTGCCCGCCTCTTTGAATTAGTTTGAATTGGATCCAGCAATTGTCTGCAAATATGAGCTTTAGTTAAGAGTTTCTTGTTCCTTTAATTCATAGGTACAACCTTTCCCACCAAGGACCGAATTCAACAAAACACTGATAAGTTTTCTTACTTCTAAGGACACATAAAACCATGTTCCTACTTAGCAAAGCCTATCGATATGTGCTTAATGTACACTGAAAATCAAAATTGTGGGAAAGCTTTGCTGAAAAGTTAAAGGAAATACCACTTGAAACAACATGTACGTAGAACTTTTGCTAAATTAGGACAGATCTGATTTAATTTATAAATAGTTGAACATAAATATTGAAACATCGCTACATAAAAAAGATTTTGTGTTATTCAGAACCCTTTTTCCCCCCTTCTACATTAAAAAAGCTGTTGAGAACTGTACACTGACCTCAATGTTAGACAGAAGGCGAGACTTCATTTTTATT